GATCAAACCAGTCAATAAAGAAGTGAGCGTTGCAATCATTTTCTGTCTAAAAATAACTCTTAACTCCTATCAGTGAGATGAAAGAGGGCATGACATGCTACCTAAAATATCATTAAGCTAAGCTAGTGCTTTCAAAGTTTATTTCCATTCGGTAATGGCTTGGGATTCCAGTGTTAAAACTACGGACTGAAGCAAATGCAAAGATGTTAAATATTACATATTATCAGAATTACAAGAGCAGGTAATACATCATCTAATTACTACCTACCTAATGTTCTTATTCCAGTTCGTATAAAATGGTTGGTGCCAATCATTTTCCACGAACTGGAATAAGAACATTCTACCGACAACAATCATTCACTTGACTCTGATGATGACTTCCGCACAGGTTGTCGAAACGTCAGTCACTACCAACGACAACAGTCCTTCTCAGGACCACACTCACCCGGACGATCAGCCTCCACTTTCACATGTTACCCTGGGTTCAAGCCATTTACTGCACTTGTCACTTTTGTTTAGTACCCTTAGGAAGATTGCGGATGACCACGATCAGGATTGGGACGAGTACACGGATGGTGCTCTTTTTGCAATTAACACCAACAGATCAAACACCACCAAGTTCAGCCCATTCTATTTAATGTATGGTAGGCATCCACGTTTGCCTCTTGAAGTCCAAAAGTATGTAAAGCACGTCGATAACGACCCCAGCGAAATTGAAAAACTGGCAAGGGAATTAAACTCAGAGGATGTCCTCCAGGAGCATGTGCAACAAATGACAGCCACAAGAGATGCACTTTTCCCAAGAGTGCAGGGAAACATAGAAGCTGCACAAGAAAAGCAAAAAGAAGCAGTTCTTAAAAAAGAAAAGGAGGCTTCGACTGCACATTGAAGAAGGGTGATGCTGTTCTACGCCGCAATATGCTCCAAAAGACAAAAAAGGGGCACAAAATGGAAGACCAGTGGACTGGCCCATACACCATAGAAGAGGTTGACTTACAAAGGGAACCTGCAGGTTACGTGGAAAAAGTGGCGAGAAACTAAGAAGGATAGTGAACATGAAAGACCTCAAAGCGTACAGGGTTCAATCCACAGCTCAGCAGACAGCACAACCACCATTGCAGCATCCTCACTGTTCTTCTCAGCATTCAGCGACAGCACTCCAACATCAACAACAGGCGCCATCGCAGCAGCCAGTACCATCTATGCAGCCTGCAACACCATTGCAGCAGCCAAAACAATCCCAGCAGCTATCGCCAACCAAAACGGCCACAATACAGCAGTTAATGTCATCCCAACAAGCACCATCCAAGCAGCCTACACCACACCAACAGCCAGCACCACACCACCGGCCAACACCAATGCCACGGACAAAGGTTCCCCAACCAAAAGTACCACCCAATCAGCCAACACCAATGCCGCGGTCGAAGTGCCCCAAACTTCAAGCACCTTCCAAGCAGCAAAAAAGAACATCACCAGCCAGCACCTTCTAGCCAGCCAACACAACCAAATCAACCTACACCTTCCAGCCAGCCAACATCACCTAATCAGCTAGCACCTTCCAGCCAGCCAACATCACCTAATCAGCTAGCACCTTCCAGCCAGCCAACATCACCTAATCAGCCAGCACCTTCCAAACAGCAAACATCACCTCATCAGCCAGCACCTTTAAACCAGCAAAAATCACTTAATCAGCTAGCACCTTCCAAACAGCAAACATCACCTCATCAGCCAGCACCTTTAAACCAGCAAAATCACCTAATCAGCTAGCACCTTCCAGCCAGCCAACATCACTTAATCAGCCAGCACCTTCCAAACAGCAAACATCACTTAATCAGCTAGCACCTTCCAAACAGCAAACATCACTTGATCAGCCAGCACCTTCCAAACAGCAAACATCACTTAATCAGCCAGCACCTTCCAAACAACAAACATCACTTAATCAGCCAGCACCTTCCAAACAGCAAACATCACTTAATCAGCAAGCACCTTCCAGGCAGCCAAAACCACCTAATCTGCCAGGGGCTCAGCAACCGGCAAAATACCAGCCCTTTGAACCAAACAAAAAAATACAGAACATTTCAAAGAAGGACATTGCTTCCTGCTTTGACAAAGTAATCAAAGATCACCTTTCAGAAGTACTCAGTGGCACCAAGGAAAGCTGGCGACATGAAATTTTCCATGGAAGAATATTATCAGACAGGGATAAAGAGATGATCGAAAGGGTAGATCTCAAGTTCAATGTGCCATTTGGGGACTTTGAGGAAAATCAAACATATCACATGGTAACTCTAATAGCAAAGCACTTCCCAAAGGTCAGTCAAAAGTACTTAATGGAGGTACTTTTACCAGAGGCTCTAATTACCCTATGTTGTCAGCAATTACAAATTACACGCAACCAGGCTGAGGATCTCCTAGAAAGTGGTGGAAAGCATGAGGCAGATGCATTCCTGCAAAAAATAGAACAAAGAAGTAAAGGAAAGTTCTTGAAAAAGAAAAAAGCCCCGAAAAGAAAAATGCAAGGAGCCGAAGAAGCTGAAGACGAAGTTCAGTTTTTGAAACAGGCTAGGATGGACGAAGCATCTATTGCTAAAATGCAAAGGCCTACATTTAAACTGAATCAAGAAGATGTAGACATAATTGGCAAAAATGCAATGCTTACAGATCTTCAAATACAAATGGCCCAAGAACTGTTGCATCGCCAATTTCCTTATATCGAGGGGCTGCTGTCTCCAACAATTGGGAAGGCAGAACAGTTTCCAGTGATGCGGAACAGCTTCATTCAAGTGCTACACACTGGTGGTAATCACTGGGTTTGTGTCAGTAATATTGGATGCAGCCACAACAACCAAGTGAAACTCTATGACAGTCTTTATAGTGGAATTGCGCCATTCACCAGAGAGCAGATTGGTGCCCTTCTTTTCAACCAAGACAGCAATGTTATTGAAATTTGTGTCCCTCCTGTTGACCAGCAAACAAATGGGACAGACTGTGGAGTTTTGTGATTGCATTTGCCACAGCACTCTGCCATAATATGGACCCCACATCACTTAAGTTCAACAGGCGGGCAATAAGGGCACATCTCTTAGATTCCCTTAAAATGGATACATTGGTATATTCCCTTTGAGGAAAAATCAAGCATTGGTTATGAAGAGACTGTTGCCATGCCAGTGTACTGTGACTGCCGCCTCCCATACAATCCAACCAAAGACCAGATGGCAGAATGCACCAATTGCAAGAAGTGGTTCCATCAAGCTTGCCAAAAATTCCTGACAAAGTTTTCAAGTATAAAAGGTTTCAATGGAAGTGCAATAACTGCCAAATTGCTTAGATACAGACATCTATTTTTTTAAGGCAAATGGTTATTGAAAATATTAGGGACTGTCAATTTTATGTGGTGGGGTGGTAGATAGTCACTATAATATGTGATGACTTCCCCTTTTCATCAAAATTTTTCCCTGCCCCCACCCCTTGTTACCATAATTGTGTGACACTTAAGAGTAGTTATTTGGGTTAAACCCCTTCCTCTCCAAACTGACCATTTTTATTTGGTTGGCTCCACTTTCAAACCAACTGTTCTGGCATGACCCCTCTGAAGACTATTAAACCCCCTACCTCATAAAACTGAAAAGTCTCACCACTCAACAAAATGTCAGGCCAAAACACTTCAATGACAACTCAGGCTAAAGTACTAGCACAAGAAAAAGGAAAAGTAAATGATTTTGGCAATGGTAATTCAATGAAGCCATGGTGCTAATTGTCAACTACATAAAATACAAGAGTTTTACAGATGAAATCAATACCATGGAATAAATCATTAAAAAGTATCACAATTTGAAAAAGAAAAAAAATCACCATTTGTTAGTCATTGTTAACAAGCCTATCCATAAATGCCTTTTTCCAGAGGGTACTTCCCTTCTTGGAGTTTGTTGATATTTTTTTGCATTGTCTGATAGGTTTCACTTCTGTAACAAACCCAGTTTTAGAGTTTGCCCATTGATTTACAGGTGGCTTGTTCACAAATTCATCAGCATTATTAGGCTTTGAAACAATGTTAAGTTTTTTTTGTAGTGTTACTGCTATTTTACAAGAATATGTGACATTTATAAAGTAGAACAAAAGTTTGCTCTGAAATATTTATTGGATAGTACATATACATTTGAGGAACACTGAAACATTGCAAGTAGATATCGCTTACCATGCAGTGGATATCACTTTACTAGTAGATTAATATTATCAGTTAACAATCATTTTCATAATCTATACAACCATGTTGATTTATCAATAAAATTACCTGATCTTTCGCATGTAGTTCAAATTAGTTGGCCTGTTGTTTTTATGAGCACTTATTAGACACAACAAAAACAGTGCAGAAAAATATCCAGGCTGTCCATACTGGCAAATACTGGAAAACCAAGACTTCGGTTACCATGATAAGGACTTGGTTGTCCAGGGCCGTACAGATTTCAAAACAAAAACAAACCAAAAAAAATATCAACAACATAGAAGCCCCGTTTAAAATGAATTCAAATGGTTTTGATGTATAGTGAGTGATTGATGTGAACTACGGAACGTGAACACGAAATAGTTTCCAAACGCGGTAAAGTTCTAGACCTTTATCCACCAAAACAACTTATTGCGCAAACACACTTTTAAGTTGTCGCAAACGACAGGACAAACGCTAGTTTCGAGCAGTGGCTCGAGCGAACTAATCGTTGGTACTTAAATTAAATGCTGGCGAAACGACTGAAATCCATGTAACTATTTTAAAGGTTTTGGAAATATAAAAACACCTCTTACCTTGTTATTCAGTTGCATTGTGATCTTCTTCCGTTTATATTTTGGATCGGAAACTTTAAAATATAAAACCACAAAATTTGTTCCTCGTAGCCACCATGTTTTCTTTGAAGCTCTAAAAGGCCCGGGTGCAAAGCTTCAGTGTTTTGTGTATCCCTACCAGGGGTACACATATCACTAGTGATATGTGTGCGGGGGTACACATA